TGGAAATCACAACTGTTCTGGTGTTCAAAATCAGTGGAGTTCACCAAATTCACTGTTAAAGTTAGGGCTGACTGCACATACTAACTGAAGTGGTTTGGTAGTTTTCTGTTTTAACTCAGCTTTTTTTTTCCTGATTTTATTTTCCCCTCCGTATCCTCAATTGAATAAAAAAATAATAATTGAGAACAAGAAACTGTGTTAGAGCCTTTCTCTTATTGAGCATGAAGGTCAGAGATGCCTGTCATTGATTTCACTGTACACATTCCAACTGCTGTCCACTCCAGTAGTACGGACAAATGAGGAGAGGTTACAGGGAGGAAAGCAAAAAATGATTTCCTGTGTAGTTGAACTGTAAAACTGGAAAACATATGTGCAACTGTTCTTTTGCTGGACAAAGCTTGGTAACAGGTGAAACAACAACTGTAAAACTGCACACTTGTAGATTCATGTTCCTAGTAAATACAAAGTCATATTTGTATGTCTGATTTAAGAATTCTCCCTCTCCTTTTTTTTTTCCTGCGCAATTTTAACTGAAGTCAGTTCTGTTGAGGATTTCAGTCCAATTGCGAACTCAGTTGCTCCTTGTTGGTTGCCTCATCTCCAATCTAATTGGCGTTTAAACAGAGAATAGCTGTACTGAGAGGAGCTTGCAGGCTTTGATATATTCCTTCTTTCATACTGCCTCTTCTGTTTCGTCTCTGCTCTTGTGGCAGAAATATGCTTATTTCTTTTTTAACTTTGACTAGCACAATAGGAATAGTATATGGTGTTTATATAGAAATCTTATTTGCTGATAGCTTAACGATAATTTCTATGCAGAAGTCTATCACACTCCTCCATTCCTTATCAAGGGTAGTGTCTAGTTTTGGGAGGGACTGTTTATTTATATACAATGTGAGCAACATGAGAGAGCAAATTTACACAACTACAATGGGAACCAAAAACTATTCACCTTTTTATCACTTTTGTATTATAAAGAGATCTGGTTAAATAGTCTCCTTTGTTTGAATGTTTGTTTTCCTGTTCCTGTGACAACGTAGGAACAAGTACTTTTTGAAAAATGGTTCAGAAATAAGTTTTTGAAGAGATTAATTCGGTGAACTCCCTTACAGCATGCTTTCTCTACCTTAATTTGTGATTGCTAGTCACAGCATTAAAATGATGGGCTAAGTCACCTATTGTTTCTGCTCCCCAGTTGAATAGCTGAGACTTTTGTAACAATAGAGGAGGCACTGAAAGTGCATGGCACAAACACTTGCCCGGACATAAGCTGGTATGGATATTAGTGAAATTTTCTTTCCATGAATATTTTGTTAAGATAGAACTTACTTGTATACCAGCATACCAAAGATAAAGGGATGATTCCTTCAACACCATTTTTCATATTTTTCTGGAAGTCTCAGAATAAGCAGTTCAGTTTCTTAAATCTACTTAGTGTTTGTA